GTTTGATTGATGAGTGTGAGCCCTTTTAAAACCCCATTGTAGGCTTAGCTAGACAAGCTTCTTCATCTTCTTTACACTATCCTCATGAAGGATTGATAACCCTTTATGCTGCAATGATCTGATTTGAGACTCTAGGGGAATTGAGTTACAAGAAATAAAAATTCTTATATCAATTTGGCGCAGTTGCTTTAGTGGGATGTTTAGTGTACCGAAGTTTGAACATTTGTTTAGCCTAAGACATTTATTTTAGTACTAATCTTCTTTAGTTACTTGGCTGTCTTTTTCAGGTACCAAATCCTTCATCCTTCAACACCATTGAAAGAGCAGTACAACACCAAATCCTTCATACAATCCTCCTTTGCCATTTCCAGGAAGAATTAAGAAGTCGTTGGTTGAGAAATATCAAGTATTGTTTGATGAGCAGTTTGAGAAGTTAGAGTTTACTATGCTTCTACTTGATGCATTTATGCTGGTCTCTCCTTATCAGAAGTTTCTAAAGGATGCAGTATTGAAGAAACTAAAGAGCTGCAAGGGATGGTCATCCTTTCACATGAGTGTAGTGCTATTATTCAGAGAACAGAGGAGCGAAGGAAGCTAGGCGATCCAGGAAGCTTTACTCTACCTTGTTCCTTAGGCCATCTTGCCTTAAACAACTGCTTGTGTGATCTGGGAGCTAGTATCAGCCTTATGCCGCTTTCAGCCGCCAAGCGTCTGGGGTTTACAAGCTTTAAGCCATGTACAATCTCCCTAGTTTTAGCATATCGCTCAATAATGTTTCTAGTGGGTTTACTTGAAGACTTACCTCTAAGAATTAGCCATGCTGAGGTTCCTAGAGACTTTGTGGTTCTTGAGATGGATGAAGAGCCAAAGGATCCTCTTATCCTAGAAAGACCTTTAGTAGTAACAGCTGACATTGTTATAGATGTGGAGAATGGCAAGATTGATCTCCATTTGGGCAAGGAGCTTGTGCTTAAGTATAATATCAACAAGGTTATGAAGAAGCCAACCATTGAGGGACAACTCTTCAAGATTGAAGCAATAGATATACTTGCTGAAGAGGTATTAGAAGATCTCACTTTGGGAGATCATCTTCAAGTAGCTTTGACCAAGGATTATGGTGAAGATGGGTATCTACATGATGTGAATCTAGCCTACATGAAGCTGCTTGACTCACACAGAGAGATAGATGCCAATGTAACATAGAAGGAGATAGATGGTTCACGAGAAGAGATCATGGCCTTAGTAGCAAAGCAGACAACCAAGGACGCTAACAACAAAGCTGAGGCAAGCTTGGATGATGACTGGTGCGAACTTAAGGCACCAAAGGTGGAGCTCAAACCACTTCCAAAAGGGCTAGGGTATGCATTTCTAGGTCATAACTCTTCTTACCCTATGATTGTGATTGAAAAATAAGTATTGATGAATTATCTTCCCTTTTTGAAGAGTTAAGAAAGTTCACGAGAGGCATTGGTTATTCTTTAGATGATATCAAAGGCATATCTCCTGCCCTTTGCACTCATAGGATTCATTTAGAAGATGAATCGATGACTTATGTTGAACATCAAAGGAGGTTAAACCCTAATTTGAAAGATATTGTAAAGAAGGAGATTCTAAAACTTTTAGATGCTGGTGTTATCTATCTTATTTCTGATAGTACATGGGCTTCACCAGTTCATGTGGTACCTAAGAAGGGGGGAATCACTGTAATTAAAGAATGAAAGGGATGAGTTAGTGCCAACTATAACTATAACTATGCATAGGATGTGTATAGAGTATAGAAAACTTAATGCTACCTCAAGAAAATATCACTTCCCTCACCTTTTTATAGATTAAATTCTTAAAATACTTGCAAACCATCCTTTCTATTGTTTCCTTGATGGGTATAGTGGGTTCTTTCAAATTCTCATTTATCCAAATGATCAGGAAAAGACAACTTTCACATGTCCTTATGTGGCACCTTTGTTTATAAGAGAATGCCATTTAGATTATGTAATGCGTCTGCTACTTTTCAAAGTTGTATGATGTCCATATTTTCTGACCTTATAGAAGAGATGTTAGGAATGTTTATGGACGATTTCTCTGCCTATGGCCTTTTTTTATATGTCTGCTTGTCTAATCTTTTCGTGGTTTTGCCGATTTCGTGTATGGTATAAATTGTATAAGTAAATGAGAAATTTAATTTTTCTTTATAGTTGTTGCTTTCGTGATTTTGGTAGATTCCTTCCTCCTTACATTTAGATTTTAGTTAGTTTGTTCATTCATTATCTACCTTGTAACTCTTATCTAAATTTTTAATTTTGTATTTAATTTTTGTAGTTTATGTTTTTCAATTTGGTTGTATCTTTGTCTGTAAAGAATTTTAGTTTTCTATTGATTGTTATATTTTTTCGTCATCTAAATATATGTTATATTTCGTCTAAATTTTTAATTTTGTGTTTGACATCTAGAAAAATTTAGTTTTTCATCTTTCAGTTCAAACAAATTTAAATTTTGGCTGGCTATATCTTTGATATTTATATGTGCAAATTTCCTTTAATTTTGAAGAATAAAAAAAATCTACTTTTATCTATAAAATAATTATTTATTTTTAATTATTTTTTCTTTTATTTTATTTATCTTATTTCTCAAACATTTTTTTCTCGTAAGTATAAGAACAATGGTAGAAAAAAAGTAGCTGTCTCTATAACCTTAGAAAAAAGAAAAAAAAAAAGACACTCAGCACCCCGTATGCTCACCACCCATCTTCTTTTTTAGAGATATTAAACAAGAGATAATTTTTGAAATAAGCCACTTGACAATTTATTATGAAACATGACTCTTCCATTAGAGAGGTCCACTAGTTTGCTTTCAATCTGCTATTAGTCTGTCAATAATATGTAATTAGTCTACCATTAGCCTGCCAGTAGTCTACATTCAATTATTTGACCAATCAGTGTGTCAGTCGTCTGTATTTAGTCTGCCATTAGTCTGTCATTAGTCTGCCATTAATCTATATTCAATTATTTGACCAATCAGTGTGTCAGTAGTCTGCATTCAGTCTGCCGTTAGTCTACCATTAGTTTGCCATTAATCTACAAATAACATTAGTTAGAAGGGTAGTGCTCGTATTTATAAAAATCATAAAAAAAATCATTTTCCTAATTTTCCCTCAATAGAATATCTATTTCATATTATTTTATCATTTTGAATCATTTTAGAGCATTTTCTCATTAAACAATTTTTTTATAGAAAAAAATCCCTAAAAACATTAGAAAAAGCCACTAAAAATATTTTTCATTATTGTTACTCATTTTCTTCCTTCATTCTCTCTGTAAAATCCTTTCTTATAAATTTTGAGAGGTCACTGGTCACATTGTTGTCTCTACCTGTTAGTGCCTTAGTGGAATTGATTCAACAAAGAAGAAGAAAATGAATGATTCTGTTGTTCTGCTTATCCAAATAATTACAACTTGACTCTTACACAGTGAGTGTTTTCGTTTACATAAACAGTAGTAAACCAAGATTGATTTTTTGATTATACTAAACCAGATAACAGCCTATACACTGGATTTGACTTTTTGATGTCTGCAGAGAAGAAGTCCATGGATTATGGGTCTTCTCCGGGAGATTCCAGACAACAACGAGCTACGTATTTCACGGATTCGGTTTTTAATGGGTTTCCAGTTTCTGCCTCCGATGGGTTTTGCTTTTCGGGTGGCCATACACCTCCTGTGACGCCGATTTCAAACCCATTTGTGAACCAACAGTTTCAGAGAAACATTCCAAAGCTGAATACGACAACTTATATTGTGGATTGTGATGTGGGTTTGTATCAGAATCTCAGTAAAATGACTATCTCCAATGAACAAAGGAGTTTTTTCACCAGACCTTATCCCTTTCGGGATTATCTGGCTCAGGAAATCTCCATGGGTGTTCTCAGTGGCGGAGCCAGAACATTTTTCTGCTGGGGGCAGAAAAGTATAACTTATAAATTACATTCAAAAAATAATTTTTGTTTCATTTAATCAATAAAAATAGATAAAATTATATATATATTAACAAAAAAATTGAAAAAAAACTTAAAGTTGATAATAACGAAAACAAAAGTATACAGAAGTTAATTAAAAAGAAAGAATTTTTTTAAAAAAAGATGACTTTTTAAAATATTTTGTTAGCTAATAATTAAATGAGATCCATAATTCTTCATGTAAAATGGGTTTAGAATAAAACTAAACCCAAAATAAATATAAAACCATAAGCCCAAATAAAGTTTTCGTGTCTAATGTTTTTAGATTTTTTGTATGGGGTCAAATAAAAAAAATTGATGGGGTCATAACATTTTTAACTAAACATAAACATATATTTTTAAAAATTAGATGGGCTCAGCTGACCCCTCTCTTCTCTACCTGGCTCCGCCCCTGGGTGTTCTGGATTTGACCCGAATCTGAGTCTTTACAATCCGTTTCTAGAAGTTTATTCTCGTCGTGAAGGTTTACGACAGAGCTCTCATGGCCAAGTTTTTTTTGGAGATGGTGGTGACTCTCACGAGCTTAGATTGCTTGGCTTGCAAGACTTTTCTAACCCTAACCATAGTGGTTTTACAGAGAACAGAGATTACCTCTTGGAGCAGATTAATCAGCAAATCCGACAAGACATTCCTCTAGATTTTCAAGAAATCGGAGGAAATAGGATCTTTCAACCTCTTTCAGCCATGAAGAACAGTTCGTGTAAGGAAGATTTGCCTCTAAATCTTATCTCTATGGTTGAAATATTCGGCTATGTGCACTTAATGGCAAAAGATAAAATGGATCGTCGGATTTTACAGAGATTGGTCGAAGGTGGAAGCTTTCTTGATTCATTGTTTATATTTAAGGAAGTGATTAATCATGTGGCTGAACTTGGAATGGATCAATTTGGAAATTATTAAGCTTCTTGAAGTTTGTAACGAAGAACAAAGAACACAGATTGTTATCATGTTGACCTCAAACTCTGGATTTTTGTCAAAATCTCCCTCAACAACTATGGGTAAGCTTTACTTTCAGTTAGTAATTCATATTTCCGAATATTTTATATTGATACATTACATGAAAAGTTAAACATTCGAATGTGTAGAAATGAAGCATTTTGTTAAATCTTTGTGAATTGTTTTCTTTTTTTGTGTGTGGAAGATGAAAAAGTATGATATTTAAAGAAAGAAAGAAAAAATAATGTTATCTTTTGAGTAATTTGTCAGTTCTTTGGTAAATAAATATGAATTGCTTATACTGATTTTAGACAAATCAGAGACCTTTGATAAAACAATTTAAGCTCATGGTTGAAAATTGAGACCTTTAATTTAATAATTCATGTTTTTGTAAATCTTCGATTGTGTTATATTCTGATAAAAGCTGAGACCTTTTAAAGACTTTTTGACTTTGATAATTCATATTTTTGGAAATCTTTAGTTATGTAAAAATTTGATGAAAGCTGAGACCTTTTTTTGCTTGATGTTTTAAATTGAGCAGGACAAGGGTTGTGCAGAAACTGATTGAGACAGTGAGCTAAGACACAGATCAATATGGTTAAGTCAGCTCTTAAACCGGGTTTGCTCTATCTGGTTAGAGATTTTAAGGGGGTCCATGTTATTAAAAAATGCTTGAGATACCTTGGCCCTGATGATAAACAGATTTTAACATAATCACTTCCTCTTCATATTCTTGAAAATGTTCTTAAAAGTATGTATGATAATTATGTACTTCTGTGCAGTTTGCTATAGAGGCTGCCACAAGGTTATGTGCTAAGATTGCGACTCATAACCATGGATGTTATGTGCTAAAACAATGCGTTGAATACTCTGCTGGGGAGCAACGTGAGAAGCTCGTTGATGAAATATCCAGATACTTTCTCCATCTTGCACAAGACCCTTTTGGGTATTAATTCTTTCACCATATTGTGAACGATGCTCAAATCTTCAACTTTGGATCTTGTTTATGTGTGTGAAATTTTGATGGCAGGAACTATTTGGTCCAATTCATAATAAAGCAGAAGCTGGGAGGAATAAATATTATATCTGAATTTATAGGGGGTTACGTGAAATTGGCTACACAGAAGTTTAGTAGTCATGTAGTGGAGAAATGTCTTATATATTATCCAGAGAGTAGATCTCAGATCGTGCGAGAGCTTGTATCTGTTGAAAACTTTGAACATCTTCTTCAAAACCCTTTCGCTAATTACGTTATCCAGTCCGCTCTATCTAACACAAAGGTGAGTTTTAGTCCTTTGATCATTTTCGCTAAGATATTCAAGATCATATATAGTAAACTTGAATGGATATGAACAGGGCTATATTCGGAAGAGTTTGGTTGACAAGTTGCAAAGATGTGAACACGTTAGGATGAATCCACACTGCAGGAAGATATTCTTCAAGAGCCACATCTTGAAGATGTGATTTCAGACCTAGCCCCTCAAGCAAGAAAAGTGATGTGTGTAGGATCTCTCCAAGGGCCCTTTTGTTGCCTTTATCTTTTTGATATACTCATTATTTATATCATATTAGCATACATTTTGCATTGTTTCATAGTCTCTAGACATGCATTTTTGCTTGTTCTTATCCCATTTGCATTCAATTAGAACTTAGTGTTGATTTAGGATGTGCATTGCATGTTTTATGCATTTGGATAGTTTGGCAGATATGTTTTAAGAGTTTGGAGACTACAACGAGCATGGGAGATGATGGTGGATGCAGCACAAGGCATGAAAAGAGCCAAGAGAAAAGTGCACTTTGTTGAAGCTGCCAGAAACTTCACCTGATAAACCGGCTCGGACAAAGCATCTCCAACCCGATTCAGCTTCATCAGTCTTCATCAATGTTGTAGCCCTGTGAGTTATCTTGCGTCTGGAGTTGGTTTCAGATCACTCCCATCAGCGGTTCGAAAGTTACGGAAGTTTTTGTGAAAGCGCTCAACCTGTGTTGACCAGTACATCGCGCGATGTAATGCACCAGAGAGGATGGGAGATCACATCGAGCATCAACATCGCATGATGTAAAGCACCTAAGAAGAATGGATATCTCATCGAGCTAGGCTGCTCGATGTCAAGCCACAAGACACTTACATTGAACATCAACATCAAGCGATGTAATGTACCTGAGAAGAGTGGATTTCACATCGAGCATACACATCGACCAAAGCCTGCTCGATGTCAAGCATCTGAAGGCCAACATCGAGCACTCACATCAAGCTCCTATATCGAGGAGAAGCATCGAGAAAAACCTCCTTAGAGTGTGCCCGATTTGAGCCGCGGGACGTGAAGATGAGGACCGGATCGAGGAGTCTAAGGCAGTGGATGCATCGAGGTGCTACATCGAGCAGGGAATGCTGAACAGGCTGATACACGCTGCACGAGCCATATCGGGGTTGTACATTGAGCAGAACACCGTCTGTACAACCCCGATACAACTTATCCGCGCGTTAACCATCGGATTTTCGTTGACCTTATCTTGTTTTTAGGTTTTTTATTCTTCTTTTGGTTCCCTACTATAAAAGAAAAACCACAAAACAGTATCTTTATCCTATCTTAAGCTTACCATCCTTATCTTTATCTTTTCATCCTGTTCTTGCACCTTAAAGGGCGATTTTCTCTAGATCTTTTTCCTTTAATAAAGTTTGCATTTTTATGATAGAGTCTTGCCTTCTGATCTTTGATTTAGCACCCTAGTAGTTTAGTTTCCTTATCTTAGCATTTTAATCTCATCCAGTCATGTTTAACTCTAAATAAATGGGATTGAACATGATTAGTGAGTAGTTTACCTTAGATTTAGGGTTCTAAGTAGGGAAAGTAGTGATTACGATGTGATTAACGGGTGATTAGGCTTGATTAGTTTATTATCTATTGTTTTCTTCTCTAACAAAGTGATTATTGTTCATAAATCTTATTCCTTTTGATTGAATATGGTATTGTTGATGCATATGGTTCACTTGATGGCTTGATATCTCACTTCTATGCATGGTTCGCTTATTTGGTTTGATAGTCTAGCTTGGTATATGTTTCCTTTGTTCAGTGACACCAAAGTGATAGTTCACCTTACTAGATGATTCGCTTAGGGCTAGATAGTGTTGGTTATGAGATTCTTGCTTGATGGTTAGATAGTGTGCATTGAAAGATCTTGCCTTTGTTTGATTCCTCTTCATTGCTTAGCATTGTTAGGATTTCGCAATTGTGTGCTTAAGCCCATATTCTTGATTGGTGATTAGCTGCTTAGGTCCCTATATGGTTGACAAGATTGATAGGTTGATCTGTATTTTTTCTTGGGTGAGAGTTGTTTACTTGTTTAGTACTTCTCTTAGGCTAGAATGGTTCTGTTCTTTATGATCATGGTTGAAGAATACGCCATCACAAGTGGGTTTGACACTTCAATCTTATTGAATATGAATTGTGTATTGATGCCAACCTGACACTTTTAAATACCTTGTCTGGGAGTACAATAATGAGAATTGCTTGCTTATGAATGCTTGATGTTTGCCTTTACTAGAAATCCCCTTTGTCACTCCTGAAAGCCACTAATCCCACTATTGCTTAGAACCTTCAGTCTTGTTTTTTATTAGTTGTCTGAAGATCATCTTGCTTAGTTATCTTTGCTAGTTTAAATTCAGTCTTCATCTTGCTTAGTACTGTTTAAATTGTTCTTTTATTTAGTTCTTGCTCAGTCCTTGCTTTATATTCATCTTGCATTTCAATTCTGCTTTCTTTTACTGCATCGCTAGGTTGTTAGAGTTACCACTTCATAATCATAATCCCCAACCTTGCTTAGTCAACAACATTGTTTGTATCTCAACATCCACAAGTGTGTTTGGCACCTAAGTCCCTATACCACAACTGATTTGGGGATTAGGAATACTTTGAAGTTAACAAGGGCCTCAAAAACATTTGCTTCAAACTGGCGCCATTGCCATTTGTGGATTCTTTGAGTTAACATTGCTGTTAGACTAAGTTCTTTTGTTTTAAGTTACTAATTTGCTCTGTTTTTCAGGTACTTGTATGAATTTGAGGTCCAAAGGCTCATCAAATCCGACTCCTTCTATTGACAACATCCATAGAAGAAGAGCTGTAAGACAGAGAGTTCAAGAGTTGGAAGAGCAGAGAATGGCAGAGCAAGAAGCTCAGTTAGCACATGTTGGTTTTGTAGGACAAGCACCTTTATAACAAGCTGCAGCACATATGGATGAAGCACAAGATGCTTTGAACCAAGCGGCTGGAGTTCAGGGATTGAGAGTACTAGTTCATGCACCTAGAGTTGTAAGACCTATAGGAGCTGCTGATGCGCTTGATACTCACCACAACAGGAATGGAATTCATGCTCCAGCTGTGCACCAAAACCACTTTGAGATCAAGCTTGGGTTAATCAACATGGTGCAAGAAAACTGATTTCATGGTCCATTCAATGAAGATCATTTGGATCAGTTTGACATAGTGTGTGGTATGACCAAGATTCAGAGAATTTCTGAAGATGCTTGGAAGCTGCGCTTGTTCCCATTCAGTCTAGGAGACAAAGCACATCACTGGGAGAAGACACTTCCACAAGGCTCCATATCCACTTGGGATGAATGCAAAACAGCATTCCTCAACAAATTCTTCAGCTCAACAAGAATAGCAAAGCTCAGGAATACAATTAGCAGCTCCACTCAACATGGGAATGAGACATTTGCTGAAGCTTGGGAGCGCTTCAAGTCATACACTTTGCAGTGCCCTCATCATGGGTTCACAAATGAAAGTTTGCTGTCTACATTGTACAGAAGAGTGACGCCTAAGTACATGATGCTCTTGGATACAGCATCAAATGGAAATTTCATGGGGAATACTGTTGTTGATGGACTAGCTCTTATGGAGAATTTGGCACTATCTCATGGAAACTATGGTGAAGAGTATGACAGAACATCTAGAGCTGTTGTAAGCGCTGAAGGTGAGAGCACGACTAAGAAGGAGATTAAAGCTTTGAATGACAAAGTAGACAAGCTCTTGAGTGCATCATTCAAGAGTGTAAGCTATGTTGGTGAAGCTGATGCTACACAAGGAGAAGATGGGACAGTTATAGATGAAGAAGCCTTCTACATGAACCAACAAGGAGGCGGTTTCAACAACTACAGGAATCACCCAAACTTTTCCTATAGAAGCACAAATGTGGCCAATCCACAAGATCAGGTTTATCCCTCACAAGCTGCTCAACAAAACCAAGGAGTCAAACCATTTGTTCCTTTCAACCAGCAACAAAACTATGCTCCAAGACCACCATTTCAGGGAGGATTTCAGCAATCTAACTTTCAAGCTAGACCAGCTTTTTTTTCACCAGGTTTTTGGCAATACACATAGCTCAACCAGCAGATGATGCAACAGCTGTTGACTGGTGAAGCCAACACCACTATAGAGGTGCACAAGAAGTTTGCTGAAGTGCATAACAAGATAGACGCAACTACTTGTGACCTGAATGGCAAGTTGAATGCTCTAAGCCAAAGAGTTAAGTCTATAGAGAGCAAAAGAGCTTCATATTCAAAACCTCAGAATCAATTACCAGGGAAGAGTGAAGCTAATCTTAAAGAATTATGCCATTTGCTTGCTGAACAGGATGAAGAGTTTGATGATGAAGATGCTACATTAGAAGACATTGGTATAATGCTTCAAGAGATGTTGCTACATGTGGACATGTTAAAGTCTGAGTGTAGGGGGGAATGTGTTGAATGTCACCATTGATGATCAAGAAGCTGTTGATATTGTAGAACAGTTCCTCCAAGGGTTAGATGAAAGTTTGAATAGAGAAGAAGAGCTTGCTTTAAAGCAAGAGAGAGCTACAAGAGAAGCTGCTGAGAAGGAAGAGGCTGAGAAAGCCTTGGTTGCTCCAGAAGAAAAAGCCACTCCAGAGCTCAGTGAAGCTGATAAGGAGCTTGTAGAGACATACCACGTCTTGATGGTCTTGGATAGAGAAAGTCCTGAATACTTCAAAGAGCTGTATGAGCGCCAAGTGGGTACTTCTTCAAGCAACAATGAGAAGGGTAAAGCTACTGAAGTTCAAGATTACAAACCACCAATCCCTTACCCCACAATGCACTTCACAAAGGCTCAGATGGCAGCCTATTCAAAGTTTAGGAAGGACATACAAAATGCTGGAATAAAGCTTCCTCATGACACCATTTTGCTTGAAGTGAAGGATCAAATCAGGTTCTTTAAAGAAGTTTTTGACAAGCTGGAAGTAGTGGAGCTAATCCTAGAGAAACAAGGAGCTGAAAACTTTAACCAGACTTCCCAATCCACGAAAGTTTCTGATCACTTGTGAGCTTGAAATATTAGACAATGTGGGAGCCTTGTGTGATTCAGGATCAACGGTGAATATTATGTCTCTCCACGGTAAGCCAAACCTTAGAAACCAAGGAGCTGAAGCCTTGCAAAGCCTCTATTATC